GGGCAACGATGTTTTGTTTTCTCGTGCCTGTTTGGGGCTGGGGCTCTGGGTGGGCAACGATGTTTTGTTTTCTCGTGCCTGTTTGGGGCTGGGGCTCTGCTGGGTGGGTCTGTCGTCCGRCCCTGCTTTGCCTTTGCTGCTTTTTTGCTTACCAATTCGTGGGGCTGTTTGTCGACCGTGTCGTTTAAGATGGACTGTGTTAATGTGTGTTTTGCTCTGTCCGCTGATCGCAGGGGTCGCTGCCAACAATGGAAGGACCTATTCCTCAGCCTGTTGCTGGTAGCGCTTTCCGTGCATGGGCGTATCGGGATGTGAACTATGATGTTCACTTCTACTCGCTAGAGAGCAAAAGCCCCTCTGATTTTGAAATGCGGCAGGTTTCCGACCAGGACTATAGGGATGCAGATGGGCTTAGGTGGTCCCTTGACGAGCTCCTGCATCTCCTGTATATCAAACAGCAGGAGATTGATTCCCTGCAGCGGGCGCTGGCTGATCAGCAGCGACTCCACGATGAACAGTTGGTTTTTTTGCTCCAGAAGGTTAGAATGTCGCACGAGGAGGTGGTTCAGGTCTTGGGTGGCAAGCAGTTCGCAAAGAAGGTGACTGCAGCATCAAGAGGACTTTCCCGCTTTGCACCCAAGAATAAGTCTTCCGTGGTGAGTGTTGCCGGTTCCGGGCCTCGAGCTGACGAGGATGTAAACAACAGTATGGCTTTGCTCAAGCAGCGAGAGATAGACCAGCTCCGGGATAAAATAATCTATCTGACTGTCCACTCAGATTTTGCTGCTTGGGATAGCATGACGCGCTGTAAACAGAAAGTTGTGCACGTTGACGTTCAAATTAGAAGGTTGTTGTTGATCTCAGATATGAGGGGTGATCTTGCACGCATTGTACACCCATTGTTCGTATTGCCAAACAATGAGGTACTGCAGGTCTTTGACCGTTTTGATTTGCGGTCAACAATTTGCCAGTAGCAGTGGGTGGGTGAGACGTTACTTTATCGCTTGGTCCAGGCTGAGGTGCAAGCAGCGCTGAAGTTCGCTGTCACTGAGCCTCAGGCTTTGTGTGCAATCGAGGTGCTGTACAGTCTGCTGATGGCCGCCAGGAGAGAGTTTGAGGAATTTGTTGCTGCCACTTCCGTCCAGCAAACTGCTGCTGCTACGTATGATATAACTATCCAGCAGGCTTCTGTTCTTCAGAGGTTGAGGTTCACGCTTGGTAGGTTGCTGCTTGCTGCTGCGGACGGGGATGCGAGACGCCCTGTGAACGTCATCCTGCCTGAGATGTTGCAGAAGAGCCGTAAAAAATTGCAGATCGAGTGTGGAACTTTGCAGCTTCGCCTTGCCTCCCAAACAACCGGTTGCTGTCCGTTTTGCGGCTACACGCTCTCTGGACCTGCTGCAGGTTTGTCTTCCTCCACAGTTGGGCTGAGTGTCCCCCCGGAACCATTCGAGAAGGCCAGTGGTCCCCCAGGGGAGGATGATATGCTCATAAGTTGACCGCACATTACAGAGGTTGACACGTTCCGTCGTCATCTCCTCGACAGTGCATCCCTTCCGAGGGAGCTAGATGACAAACGTCAGTTTCATTTTGATGACTTCGGCTCGCAGCTCATGCTTGTCGACAGACAGGAGGATATTGACATTCTCGTTCCGGTGGTCCACATCGCTCCCGACGATAACGATTACGATTTCCATGTCGTGCCTCCAGAGTAGCCTGCTCTGTGTTGTTTGCTGCTGCTGTTTGTTTTCCGTGTGAGTATGAGTACAGGGTGTCGGTTGACGCAGTGCCCGTCGTGTTTGCAGCTGTCGTTTCTTTTCTGTCTGCTATCACCCTGTCCTTTGAGATAGAAACGGTCGGTTGGCAATCCGCTGCGTTCCTTTTTGGCCCTCCACTCGGCATGCTGTGTTTCCAGGGAGCTGTACATGACGAGGGTTTAGTCTTTAGATTCGGTTACGGTTTGCGGACGATCTACCTGCCTGTGTCTTCAGCTGTGCCGGGGTTTAGGGTTTAGGGTTTATGTTCTATCGGCCTTTACCAGACTGGGGTCCGGGGTTTAGGGTTTAGGGTTTAGGGTTTAGGATTTAGAGTCTTCAGTCCCTTTTTCCCTGCCTTTTTTTTTTACTTGCTGTTCTTGCCGCTGTGGTTTTTGGTGGTGGTGTACAGTGCCGATGGTTGGCGCTCTTTCAGCGTTTTCGTGTTTCGTCAACCTTTGACGTAGATCTAGCTGGCTCGGGTTTGGGGTTTACGATTCGTACTCTTCGAGTACTGTTCCTACTGTCCATGCTGTATATATAGTGTTCATAGTCTTCACATAGTGGTCATACTGTTCTTGGTGTTCACACCGTTGATGTGGTGTTCGTAGGGTTCATAGTGTCCCTGCTCCTGTTGATGTTTGTGTTTATGTTTATGTTTACTTTACCTTCCTGCTTGTGCTGCGTTACTTGGGTTTAGGGTTGACCATTTACTGGGTCCCGGAATGGGTTTTTTCTCGGCTGTTTTTGGTTCTACCGGTTTTGGGACAGCCCTGTGAATTTGGAATCTGCAATGTATTATTCTGTATTATATGTATTGTATAGGGACTTCCTCGGTCTCCGTGTCCTTTTGGTGTGACTCGTCAGCTTCTCTAATTCCACTTTTCGAATTTTTGGGGTCCTGTCTTTCGTATTGCTAACATGTATGGCAGTGTTGCTTTGAAGTATGCTTCTGCTTGAGATGGTGTTTGCTTATTCGATATAAGACAAATGTCGGAACTGCGTGGTCGCGTCTGTTTTTGAAACTGGTGCATCGGTTATGGCGTCTGCTGTTTGCTCGAAATAATGTCCACTGTCAGGAAACAGTGCCGTGTTGCGGCGTACCTCTCCCCTGTGCATTTTCCGTCAAACGCTCGGTCATGTGGCCAGATGTGGGTGTCTTTTTATTTTTAGTTTTTTTCGACTTCTTGGTGGCCATGTGTGACCGACCGTAATTGCATGCACCCCAAGGCTCTCCCGATTGTCGAGAGCTTCCGACACGTTGTTTTCGTCCTGTGGAATGATTTGTTATATGTAGCTGTGGCCTTTTCTTGCACCTGCATTGAAGTTCCTTCTTTTGAATTTTTTCCCTTCTTCTTCGTTTTATTTTACCGTTTTTGCTGTTCTCCCTGAAATTCCTTGCCGGGGACTGGGTCTCGCTGCAACCCCTCTAGCCTTACCATTTGGCTGTCGGGCGTGCAATGATAAAACTCTCACCTGTGTGCCCAGACAGACGACGACAGCCCAGGACACAATGTCGTTCTCGCGCGGCAATCAAACATGTGTTTTCCGTGTTGCCAAGGCTCTGGGACCCTTGCTCTGTTCAGGTTTGGGACTTTGCGTCTAACGCGTGTCGACTGTTCGAAAGTTCCCCTTTTGAAAGGCTGCATCGCGTTTGGTTGCTGTTACCTGCATGCTGACATGACTTGCTCGATCTGGCTTTGTTTTCTTTGTGTTTGCTGAATCGTCCGCATCTTTGTTCCCTTCCCGGTTTGCGGTCTCGCTGCCTCCTGCCTCGAATTGCTGTGTTTCTACCTCGGTTTTACCTTGGCCCGTCTGCTCCTGTTTGTGACGCCGCGGTCCGTGCCGTTAATCTGCTGCCTGGAACCCTCCTGCTGAAGATTGCTCTGCGGTCATGGCACACCCACCTCATTTGGCATCCGCCGGCCGGACAAGGCTTGGCCCGTGGAGAGAAGCTGTCACCCTTCACAGATCTTTTGAGAATTTGCCATCCGGACACCAGCTTTTCTCTCCGTCGCAGAGATTGCGTTCTGGGAGGCGGGACCGCCAATTGCCAATCCCTCCCGCACCTCTTCATGTCCGTCCCGTTCCTGCCATGCGGTCGGATTCCAATCCATCGTCGCCCTGTGCTCCCTATGCCCGTCCTGAGATCGTCTTGGATGGCTCTGGTTTGCGTGTGCAGTCCGCCGGTGCCATTGCTCTGAACTGCCACCCAATTGACGGTCGGCCTCCTCGTGGATACATCTTGCACCTCTCGGCATCTGAGAATAGTGCCTCTTCCCTCTCGGACCGTTCCTCTGATGGATTGACTACATCCCCTCCTGTGATTGTCCCTCCTAATTCTGGCTACGACTGTGGCGCGGCCAATTGTTCCAGCTTTCACCCTGACCGTTGCTCCGCGCCCGTTCGCTGCGAGACAAATACGTGTCCTAGACCATGGAAAACACGAGTAAGACTAAGGAAAGACGGTCTGCCTCAAGAGAGGTCGGGAACCCGGTCCTCGGCTCCTGCCTCGCCCCGTGACTCTGAAGCACGAAATTTGCTCCCTGCCGGAATGAGAACCGCTCCGCTGGCCATGATAACTTCTCATACCAGGTTGCACTTCTCCTTGGACTTCCTTTATGGTGAGTCGGGTGGGCCGCTCAAAGTTCCTTCCCCTCCCCTCTTCTTTTCTTTGCAGCGCCCGGTCACGGTTCCGCAAATCCCAGTTCCCGTTCCCACTTCATCGTCCGGCAGGGCATCTGATAACACCCGAGGGCCGTGTTTCTCTTCCTGGGTCTCTCAGCCAAACACCCGGTTCCAGAGTCTTTCCTGGCATAGTCAACAACTCTCTGTCGGGTGCTTCCTCCGGTTTGCAGCCCGCGTTACACCTCTCAGGTCATCGTGCATACCTTGGCAGTGGCGAAATTGGAAACTCTGGAAGGACCCACGTACAAAAATCTATCGGCCCATCGCATGCCCCCTCCGTTGGCAATGTTGCCTCTCCTTCTACGCGAATTTGTAGACCCTTGCGGTCGGGCCGAACAGCTCTCGTCTTCTCTGCCCCTTCCATGCACATTCCGGTCACCAGAAGATCCACGCGTGCTTTTAAATCCTTCCCCTGCATTGGGTCCTCTCTCACCCCTCGCGTGCGCAGCAGCGAGCCAGCCCACTTCAGACGGTCTTCCACGGTGCCAATTGATCCCATTTCATGCATCCGCCGCTCTCCCAAGGGAGGTGCTGCTGTCCCCCGACCCGTTGCCACGGGAAATTGAAAGTCCATTCCGTAGCATAAACAACGCTCACTTGATCGCTGCTCGGGATAGCCGGCAAGCGAGGCAGTCCCGCATGACGATTCTCCGATTGAAACGTCAAGCCCGGCCCCTTCGTGTACCTCTTCGCCACCTTCCGGGCAGCAGAACGACAGATTGCACTGCACGTGCTGTCGTCTCGTCTTTGGCAGTTTACCTGTGCGAGTGCAGATCCGGAATCCTGTGCCCTTGCGAGAGTCTGTCCCGGCGCCCCTGAACCGCCCACGTCCTCTGCCTAACGAAGATGTGCGTTTACATGTGACTGGTCTACGACATCCGCAGTATTCACCTCACGCTGTTGCTTCGTGTCTTCGTGATCAACCCACACAGACACTTCAGCAAGGCTTTTGGGCTTCTGCCTTGCGTAGGTCGACAAGGCTTGAAATACGACGAGGACTTGCGGGGCAGCCGATGGACCGGCAAAGTCCCAGCGAATGTATGAGTCGCATGTCGGCTGCGCGTATCATGAGAGCACAACGAAGGCAGTCTATGATTCAGAAACGAGTTTCCCAATCTCGGGACGCTGCCCGGGCTTCGCACGCTGTCTGCGGGCCATCCCCGGGAGGGCATTTGGCTCCGGGCCGGCACCCGGACCCACTACCGGGACGTTCTTCTGTTCTTTTCCCCATTCATAGGTCTTGCAGTGCTGCACACCGCTCGGTTGCTGCAACACACTGCCGCACCTTAAAAAGACGGCGAACCTCCTGCGCCACCCGTAACCGGGCCTTGCGTGTGCGTCGACGTGTGCTGCAACCCGCGTCCCGGTTCCATCTGTACGATGTTTTCCGCCAGGCGTTGTTGCGTTCTGCTGACATGCAGCCGCCGGAAGCAATTCCGGTTGCAATTACTCCACCGGGTGCACAGATCCCTTGGCACCAACATCCTGGTTCACCGCCACGGGAAGAGCCGACGGAAGTCCCTGCTTTCGCCTCTGGATCTTCGACTCAGCCTGCTCTCCCGTTGGTACCTCCTCCATGTTATAGATCTGCTATTTTGTTTATCTCTTTGCTCTTTGACAACCAGATGTCCGTCAATCATTATAAGTTTGGTGACCGCCAAGTTTGTCCATACTGTGGTGCCAAACTCTGGCCCCACGAGCTGAAGTGGTCAACCATGTGCTGTAGGCATGGTAAAACGATGTGTGAACTCTGGAAGATGCCTCCCGAGGGAACGCCCGAACATTCCATTCTTTCTCTATGGACTGCTGACACCCCTGAGGGTCGGTTGCTCCAGTCCAAGTCCAGGAAATTTAACAACGCATTGTGCCTTGCTTCTGCTCATGTTAGACAGCCAGAGCAGGGCCTCCGAGGGTATCAGGGCCAACTCAAAATTCAGGGCCCTCTCTATCACAGGCTAGGCTCCCTCAGGCCTCCGCCAACGGTGCGCCCCTCGTATGCACAATTGTATATTCATGACCCTTCCGAGATGGACAATGTAACAAATGCTTGTATGGAATTGATGCACCTCCCTCACGGGGTGTCCGCTCAGGAGCGCCAGCTGACGAGAGCGATGATTGAACGACTGCAGCTTCTTCTGCGTCAGTGCCACCCATATGTTAAGGACTTTATTACATACGCAGACATGGATGAGAATGTCAGGGAGAACTTTAAGATTGTTATTAACCCTCATGCGCGTCCCGAAGGGACACATGAGCGGAGATACAACAAACCGGAAAATTTCGAGGAGGTGTGCATCCTCCTTGCTGACAGTTGACAACCTGATGAGGTCCAGGTTCGTTATAGACCCGATCGTAATTCCCCCTTCCCTTTCGAAAATTTCAAGGATGACAATAAAGCCTATGACCCGCTCCACTACGTGGTCCTCTTTCCCAAAGGAGAGGATGGTTGGTGTAAACAGCCGGACACTTCCAGGGGCAATCCAAGTAAGATCACACCTCGTGAGTTCTAT